CCTGATGGGCCGACAGGGACTGGACTTAAGGGTTCGCCGACATATATACAGGGTTATTTATGGCGATGGAAAGTTAGAAGTTTATGGAAAACCAGTAAAAATATGATTTTTTGAAAATTTCTATCTATAGTTTGTAGATTATACCGTGCTGGCAACTCTTACTTTTGGGTCAGTATCTACATGTGTGGAGGTAAATCGCATAGGGATCTTATTAAATCGGAGTGAGAGAAATACGACGATGTGCTGTTGCGACGTTGCCACATTTCTCCGGTACGCCTTTCTCTATCAAGTAAAGTAAAATCACGATCGCAAGCCGCTTATTTTTAAAATACTTTTATTTTCGAAAAAATAACTAGATAAAATCATTAGATATGTTTCTGAGCATCTGAAATCGAATTATAAGGATATCATTAGAGTATCCATTTTTTTATAACGAGAAAACGTCAGTAATCGCGATAATTCAAAAACTCAACTTTTTAACACATAACACGCGATAACTATTTTAGATCTTGAAACTTTTATTATTTCGAAGTTCGGATCTTTTACAAGATGTTTAAATAAGAAAAATTCGATAGTCTTGGTTTTTTTTTCATTCAACATTTAAAAAAAAACATCCATTTACTTTTAGTGCATTGCAATTTTCAGCAATCGTGTAACTTATTTGTTTATAAAGATTTTCACATTTATTATTAATTATATTTATTTCATTCATTTGACAATGTTTTTACAGTTCTCTCTTTGTTCAGTACATCATAAATGCATTGTACTTTTCTTACATACGGAAATGTCGATCCAAAACTAACCTTTGCCAGCCCTTAGTATATTTTCAAACAAATTAAATACTCAGAAGCACATTAATAAAAGTTACATTAATCTATTGGTAATAATAATTAAATATACATGAACGAAATAATAAAAATAACACTACAGCATAACTGCGGTGTGAATTGCTTAGAACTGATGTAGATAGGATAATCTTGTTTGGCGTTAACGCACAGTGTTGACCTCCTTTAAATACCCACAGACAATATAGTTAATGCGGGTAA